ATAAGCGCACCAACGTGCCTACCGTCCCTGTCCTATTGTTTCTCTTATTCTTTTATTTTTCTTATATGTACCCATTTCATGTATTCACAACTATGTATACACTTATACTTATTATCTTGTAAACAATTGGCAAATCAAATAAATAAATAAATAAATAAATAAACTGCAGCCCATTGCTGGAATTCCAGTTGGAAACTGCACCAACCCCAAAACTCAGTTATGCATGATGTACTGAAAAAGTGAAACAGCTTAAAGCAGGGGTGTCAAACTCGCATCATATGATGTATCGGGACTTTTTTCCCCTTCGTTAAACTTGGCATGGGTGTGGCCAGCACGTGACGCATCTGGCCTGTGGGCCAGGAGTTTGACAGCCCTGGCTTAAAGCAAGAGAGAAAGCACAAGGAACCAAAGTAAGCTTCTATTTTCACCTATCTCTTTAAATAACCTTAACTAGGCTGTTACAGGTGGTTCTTCTGCCCTACAGGGAAATAGAACCTTCTATCTGCTGAAGAAAGCCCCGAAGTAATCTTTTCATGCTAACAAAGTGTTCTGAGGTTGACTTACTGATTGGGAATCTTTTTCTATTCTGCACTAGTGGCTATTCAAAACTGACCTTCTAGTTTCCAAGGTAGCTCAGTCATGTTTCAGCCTGTGACCTGGGTGGCGCTGAAGTATATTCCAGGCATGGCCGCAAGAGACAAGCGAAGGGTTCTTGAAAAATTACACTAAATGGGACTTTTTAAAATATTACTTTCATTCTTCTAACTGTAGTTCATGTACACTTGACATGATCACAGCTTTTCTGTTCTTAAGCTACTGCTATTTTTAACACTATGAGCATAAATATTGTTCTAATGATTAAATAAGTACCATTACAGTAATGACAATAAATTATGGGGAATCATTTTTCCTTACAGTTTAAATGTTATAATTTGCTGCCAATAAAATGCCATTTCATAAGTAATAAGTAAAAAAAACAAAAATAAAAAATGGAAAAACAAAGCTTGCACTGATTGCCAAGCAATTATCGGGTGCAATTTAAGGTACAGATATTGAAGTTTAACTTAGGGTTTAACCACCCAAGGAACTATCTCTTCCATTATGAATCTGCCTCACCAAAATCTGTAGAAGAGCCCTTTCTAAACATGCTTTCACTGTCCAATGTTTGCTTACATGGCAGATGTGAGAAGACTTTCTCTTTTATAACTCCCAGGCTGGAATACATACATCCTAAGGATGTTCTGAATCACCACTCTTCCTTTAAAAAGTCTAAAAAGACGTATCTCTTTTAATCGACATTTATTATAATTTTAGGTTTTTTAAATAGAATCCTAGTTGGGATGATTTAGGTCTGCAAGTTCAATCTATTTTCAGTGTAAGAACCCATATTAAAGTATACCAGCAGATGGTTGTTTAATCTCTGATTGAATACGTCCAATGAAAGGGACTCTAATATCTAATATTAGGGATGTTTTATTAACATTCATTTGGAATCTGCCTTCTTCTAACTTAAATCTGCGTCTGCTCACTAGTATAAGAGAGAATATGCTGTCATATTCGGTGTGACATCCTTTTCAGTATATCTGAAAAATACGTAATATCCAGCCCTCCATTCTAATTTCTCAAGGTTCTATATTCAGTTCTATTTTTCTTCACAGAATTTAGTTTTTAGTCGTCCGATCAGCCTTATCGCTCTTTTCTGATCCTGTTTAAATTTTTCTGAATGCTTAAATCAAACCATACATAGCATTTGACTATGAAGTGGAATAATTACTCCCTAAAGTTATACTTCAACTGATGCAGCCAAAAATTGTATTTGTCTTTTTTGCACTTGCCCCGCGCTGCTGGCTAATATTGTTTGCAGGCAATTATTTCCCCCCCTTAATTACAAATGCCCCCCATGCCCCATTTTGTCCCGTTTCCCTCCTGCTGGCCCACGGAGGTGAACTACAACGCTGATCTGGCCCTTGAAGAAATCCAGTTTGACACCTCTGTTCTAAGAGCGATACGTTTATACAAGATGGGCTATTCCTTTATTATAGTCACGATATATTATGTCTAATGCATTCCACGTTTTTTAGAAAGTTAACAAATGAAAAATCAGAATAAACTAATTTTGCAAGATTTGTTCTTGACAAAACTGAAACACGTATTTGGTAATACTATTTTGAATGTTTAATTTTTCCAATTATGTTATTCTCCAGAATGTTTCCAGGCATTGTGGTTGGACTGCTGCCCTGTAGTTCATGGATCTTCCCCCAACGATTTCTTTTTAAACACAGGGATATTTGTTCACTTTTAATCACTGAGCTTTCAGTAGTTCTCCAAAATTTGAATAATTTAGTTGAGAACTTCTGCTCAGTCCAATAAAAAAGTAAACACCTGAGCAATTATCCCATTAGTGAAAATGTTTCTTGATGGAAGTCTAATCAGTAACTCCAATTGCTTCGCAATCTCCCTGAGAAAAAATGTGAACAATCTGAATATAAAAATATTAATATTTTGCTGTGGTTTGCATATAGCAAGGACATCAAGGATGACAGAAGCCCCCCCACTCCTAAATAGTTACAAAACACACTGTTGCTTAGCCTTATAATTTGTTGTAAAGCAAATAAGTTTTGCAGTAAGTCAAAAAAAGTGGGAGAGTTTATCTCATGTAAGAGAAGAAACGTACATTTTTCTACCATTGGAGATTTAGTTGGAGGTTGACAGAAGAACATGAATATTTGCCTCCATTGGGGAAAAAAATATAAGAGTCAGGCTCAGAGGTTTCATTTTAGAGGATCTGCAATGCAGGAAGTAAGTAAGGTTAAGATATAAAAATATCATTATTGGCAAGCTTATCTCATTTTTTTAAGGGAAGCTGTGCTAATTCAATGTATCTAGAGGGCAAAAGGTAGAAAGGATCATGCTTGACAGAGGCACCTCCTTTAGGAAGTCAGAGAAAACCTATTCTCATTTGCTGGCATTTCTTTTTTTTGAAAGAGTTCACTTAAAGTGCTGGCTAAATATGTCTGAATCTCAATGGAACTGAAAAGCAATCACGGAGTTTTTGGTGCTTTGTAACCATATGCAAAGAGAAAAGATACAGTGGAGCTTCTTGAGGACATAAAACATTCAACAAACCAGAAATGACATCTCTTGAAATTAAATAGCAAGAAACATGCGCTGAAAACCATATTAGCAAAGGAACATTCCTCACCTGATCCACCTGGCTTAGATACTAAACTTGAAAATGTTGGCTGTGTTAATCTTTGATTGACAACAGAACTCTAAGCCTTGATGAACACCAGGACTCTTCCTATCAGGCAGGAAGAGATACAAAGATGTTCTCATCCAGCATTTCCTGTTCTTTTAATCTTTTAAACATTCATATATGCCAAGATTTTAAAATCAAGGGTGTGTGTTTAGTGCCAATCTTCCAAAGAATACAAATCTTCAATCACATCCTAAGGACATACCAAGAGCTCATGGGTACTGTCTAATACCACGTTTTATTATTTCTAATCAATCCCACATACCAGACTAGATAAAAAAGAGCTTTTTGTGTGTCTATATAACAAAGACAACTTGAAATACAGTTTTTGAATAAAATGAGCTTCCCTATCACAATATAATATCAGCTTCCAAGACGTAAAACAGGAACCCAGAAGGCAGTCTGGGAGTAGGCAGACAATTTATATGATGATTGAAATGATCAAATAATATTTTTTTTAAAAAATAATTTGCTTCCCTCAATTATTCCAAAGCAGCCTCTGGCTGTCTTACAAGCAGAAAAAGAGTTAGAATAGCTAAAACCAAAGGAATATTTAGTTTCATATTCAATTTCTCACAGACTCCAAACATTTATTTTTGGCTATTTTAAAAGAAGTTTCTGAAGGTAACCATCCTTTCCAACCTTTTATACCTACCAGACAGTAGAGTGGAGACCTTAAAATTTGAGGCTCGTTAGAACTTTCATATTAAACTAGAGGCAAAAGAAAATAATGCTCTTTCACATGTTACTAGATTTCATTCCCCATCATTTGAGCTGAATGGAAATTATGGGTGCTAGATATTTGGAAGGCTGCAATTTCCTTATATTTTCCAGGATTTATATTTTTCACAAAGACATCTGTTCTGGAACAAATACTCAACAAATAAGTAGATAAAACATGAGGATTTACAAATTGCCTACTTTCTAATTTTGTCTGTTGACACTTTTCATAGCTGAATGTAATCACCTTGTCCCAAGTATTGATTCATACTAGTTCCTCAGCAAATTATGGTTTCCAAAGTCCATCATCAAGGAAATATCATCTGCATTTCCAAAGAATTTACAACATTATTCCCCAACTGCATGGACAATCAACAGGTTATGAATTATGGTATTTCTTGTGAAACGCACCATGTTGTACAAGATTGGTTTACAGGAATAGAAAACAGTTTAGCTGAAACCTATGCTTCCTAAGTTTTTTTTAATGACACAAAATGTGGAGTGCTGTGCCTAGCCTTTTATAATGTTTTATAAATGGGAACTAATAATCTACTTGCAAGTAGCTCAATGATGGTGAACCCATGATATGGCACAATATTTTAGGTGATGTGCCAGCATTTCCCAACATTCAACAACTATTCACAAAAGCACACCTTGTTCTTATGTGATTTTCAGAGCCTGCGGAGGCTGTGTGGAGTGTGGTCTTGCACAGCCTCCAGAAGTTATGAGAGGACCATGCTCTTGTGCAGCCTCCAGGCTCTCTCAAAATCACAAAAGAATGGATGTCCTCTTCAAAGGCTCCCCCACCCTTCCAAAACCTGCAGAGGCTGTGGAAGAGCATTCTCTGAAACCATTTCAAGACTGAAGACTTTGTGTGACCTGGAGCTGCCCTAGGTAGGACGCAGCAATGTATATAATTCTCAAAAGATGCACAGCAGAAGAGAAGTATTTTTAAATTAGAATAAATCACTCTTTAAAGCACACTGCCCAATGCAAATCTACAATTTCAAGTAAAGTTACTTGCTTGTATTTTTTTGACTTTGCGTTTCCCAAAAATACAGGATAGGTCATCTTCGCTCCGTGAAGAGAGATCTTTTCCTGGATAAAATTACAGGTAAAACAACAAAACAATTTATTGCTTTCCTACAGAATAAAGTTAGATCAATGCTCTTGAAGAAGAAAATTAAAATTTCTCTGTACACACTTTTAAAACATTTCATTCATTTCAATGAGGCTTAAACCAGAAAAAAATATCCTAAACTTATTGTTTTTGGAGGAAACACTGAAAACTTGCTTCCTTTAAGTAAAAGCTACAATGTGCATCACAAACCAACTGCATTCACACAGGTACCAACACACGTCTAAGGTTCAAATTTAATCCTTTCCATGCTACACATTCTCCATCAAATACTCTAACTCTCAACAATATTCTGATATATTTAAATAGATTTTTTTTCCCAGTGTCGTTACTGTACTGATCACATTAGAAACATTTTAATGTTTTTTTTTTTCATATAACAGGTTTCATTTAGTTTCATTTGAATTTACCTTTGGCAAATTTCACATAGTGAACTCGTTTTTTAGAGATCTTGGATTTTTCCTCGAGGTTAAAAGTTTTCTTTCTATTTTTGCAAGTGGATTCTAGAATACAAACAGAAAATGCAATTACATGAGGCCAAAATCTACAATCCCCCTGACATAATAAATTCCAATGTAGAACATCCCCTTGGTATTTGTTTTCCCAGTGCATCTTTTACTGATTCTTACAATAGCGATAGCTTGCTCCTAGCTTCTACTCTTAAAGTGTTGTTCTTTCCTGAGTTTCTCAAGTTATGAAAGCCTTGCCTTCAAGTTCCAGCAGTGGATAACTTGTGTAAGAGATTTGTGTTCTTCTCGGCCCTGTTGCTAATCAGCCAGAGAATGGACAATTCAGTTTTTGCTTTGGATCACTATAAACAGGAAGAACATGTGCTTAAGGATGGCAGCTTTTTCTGTGTCTGTCATGATGTGAGATGTTCTTTCAGGCATCTTCAGAAATGTGTGTGTGAACGGACACTAAGATCCAAAGGCAATTCAAATGTCAAAGGCCAAGTTCAGATGCAAAGTGACCTTGATGATAAAGGTCTGCATCAAGATGAGAATCTCAAAATGATCATTCCTCCAGACTACAAGCAACTATAAGCATCACTCTTTTGGTAAAACTATCAGTAGGATGTGAGAGTAATGCCCCCTCATCCAAAGTTCATAACCCCAACCCCACAAAATTCTAATGTTCAGCAAGTCTGACTGGGTAGGAGGCAGCTTTGATTTCAAATGCTTGTTCTCAAACAGCAATAGTGACCTCATGTGGCCAAGATACTGAATGTAATTCTATATTAAGATTTTCAATACCAGTTACCCTCAAAGTTGAATCTTGTTACCTGGGTCATCTTGTGTATAAGAGTTATTCAACTCTGCCAAAAGCTGATTGAAATCATCTTGGTGAGCAATCCAGTTGTCCTGCACCAACACACAAACCAAATGATTACAATCTAAACTGATCAGGAATAAGGGAAAGATGACAAAAAGGGCAATAATTAAATTAAAAACTAAAAATTATTAGCATGACCATCGTTGCCTCTTCCATGTTCTACAGATTCAAATTCAGACCCCAAATCAGTTGTCATAAATCTGAGTTTGGTATACAAACCATGATCTATACTTCCAAATGCACAAGCAGAAGAGTCATGATTCAAAGCTGCTCTAATTTGTGGTTCACTACATTCTACACATCCTTGATGTGATATAGCAGCCTCCAGAAGCTTTGGGGTTTAGCAATTCAGAGAAACTAAGAATAGCAGTTGGAACTAAAGCTTGCAATGCTGATCTGATGGCTAACTGTGAGCTATATTTATAATTTTATACATCGTACAAATTGTAGCACTTCCATTTCAACGTTGGTTTAATATGTGAACTGAACATTTTGCACTAAAATTATCAACATTCTAAATCATTATAAGCAGCCAACTAATTCAGTCCCATATGAAAATGTTTATGTCAAACCAAACAAAAATGCATTGTAGTTACTTTTTGTGTCTTTCCAAATCGAATTAACTTTACACCAGCTAAGTTTATAGACTTAACAGTAATTCTATTTCTGTAAAACTTAATTCAAATCCTGATTTATATGCATGGGTATATATGTGTAAGCACTTGAGCTACGAATCTGTGTAGCCTCAATTCTATTACCTCCACTTACCTCCTGGCTCACAGACGCTCCCAATCCCAATGTGTTATTCTTCATCTGAACCTTAATATGCTCTGTGCTGCCTTGTTCTTGAGCCCCAAGCCCCTAGTGGAAACAAATGACAAACAAATCTGTTTTTGAGAACTTCATTTGTTTTTAGTGTGCAGAAGAGTGTCAATTTTTCATTTTGTTGTCCTTTTTTTAATCCATTTATTCTCAATAGGTTGAAATAATTAGAAAACAAAACATAACCCACACATACTCAAACAATTAGCAACCACAAACCAACCATTCATATTTGCAGAGAAAGGGAAGTGAGTCCCTGAGGTTGTGCCTTTTGTACGAGATGGAAGCTTTCTCTTATTAATCTGAAAACTCTTGCGGTATAACTTCTCAATGATTCTTGCAACAATGTGTCTAGAAGGTGCTTCTGCTTGCATCAGCTTTGCACTCATAAAGCAGCACAAATATAAGAATTGGACAACTTTCCTGTAATGAAAGTCCAAGTTGAGGCACATCTTCAAGATTTAACAATTGGATTTAGGATAGCTGCTTCAGGAAGTTTATCCAGAATCCTTGTGCCAAGGGAAATCAGTTTGCACTAAACATCAGATTTTACTTGAAAAGTGATTTGTTCCACATTAAAGCAAGAAGCTCCTTGTTAGGAAGGCCAAGGAGGTATATGATCCCCATTTAATTTCTTATTCTGGCAATTTTTACAATGCTTACTTTATTTCATAAACATTTTATTCTCTAATTAACCTTGAAAATACTAAAGAAAACATAAACAACTATTTTCAACCATAGGAATTTACCTTGCCTTTTGACCATCCCATTTTTTCCAACATCTTCTGTCCAAATTTTGATTCATCTTTACTCCAAGCACTATTCCGGGGATCCACAGACCATTTCAGTTTGCGACGTGCTACAAGAGAAAATAAAGTAAAATCTAGTAATATTTTCAAAATTGAAATAGGAAGCCTTTTCTCTTCACAATTAGTGCTTCTCCTAACCAAACCACTTTTTCTGTGAAGATTTTTAAAGAACATTTTAGGGACGGAGTGCACAAGGCACTGGGAATCTCAACAGGATGCACTCAATTCTTTGAAGAGAGACAGATTATGAAATGGCTCCAAAAGATGCGTGAAAACAGGCTAACCAAGCCAATAAATATGTTTCCTAATTTAGAGGATATTATAAACTCTTCCCAGAATATTCTATATTCACTTATAAGAGAGATACACTTACACGTTTCACCATAAATTATTTTAAAAATACTTATTTTCATGTTTGCATTATGTCCAAGTTTATTTACAAAGAAATGAAAGGAAAGACAGCAATACATCTTTTTCTCAATGGCTTACTAAGAAATATCCAATATTTTAAGATACCTGGCAGGATGATTAACAATTTTAAACATTTTACTGACAAATGCTTAATGAACTAATATCATATTCAAGTCTGCCATTTTGTAGTAATTTTGGGAATCTCTATGTTCACAAACATTCATTTTCAGCATTCCTTAAATCTGTTCAAAGAAAGAAAAAATGATGAAGAGACAGGAAATAGGAATTGCTGCTGATAAATAGTAATGGAAATGTATATTATAGTTCTGATCTCAAACCCAAATTCAGTATTAACAGCATTTTTATTGATTTATAAATGTATATGCTGTCTATCTCTTTATTGAGATGACATTAGGCATTTTACAAAATATAAAAAGATAATTTAGAAACAATTAAAATTAACAAGGATTAAATAGAAATTAAAAATCAAGAGGATGAATGGCATGGCATGGGGTGGGGTGTTTTTTGTACTGCATCAGCCACTCCCAGTGTAGGACCCCAGGCCAGCTTGAAGTGCCAGTTTTTAAGATTCTTCTGGAAGGCCAAAATGTTGGGCTGGATCTTATTTCCGGCAGTAGAAGTTTCCAAAGGGTGGGAGGCACAGCAGAAAAACCTTTTCTCCTGGATGCCACCAGCCAAAATTTCTTGTCAGACGGAGTCTGTAGCAAGCCTCTTCTGCTGGAGTGAGTGGGATGGCCAATCCCATTGGGGTGAGGTGACTCCTCAGATACCTTGTTTGATTCCAGATATTGCACTGACTAATATTGCAGCACTGCCCATTTGTCTCTGATAAATTTGACATTTAGTGTCAGTTTCTCCCCATATCCTCTTCTTTAATCCTCTGGAGGCACCTTCTATGGCTTCTCAAACTTAGCCTTTTAAAATGTTTTTTTTTGTTGGTACTTAGAAGCAAGTTATAATGGTAATGCTTCCCTCACCCCCATCTCAATATTGTTTCTGATACCATTTGGGGGCAGCATAAGCACTTGAAGTGGCTTTAAAAATGATTTGCTTAAACGCATAGCACAGAAATCTACATTACGTTCTGTGGCTATGAAAATCTGAAGGGTTATTAAATGAAGCAAAGAGGCAAATAACTGTCACCTAGTCGTCGTCCAGGCAGAAACTCTGCTTTAGATCTTCACAGAAGATAGAACAGGGTTGAAAGCGACCCTGGAGATCTTCTAGTCCAAACCCTCCCTCCCCTCACCGACTCGAGCAATCTTCAACTAGAACCAAACAAAGATTTGGAGATCGAATGCTTCTGAAACCTAGAGGAAGGAAAATAAATATGAAGCAGCAGCTACTCCCATGCTTTGCTTATGGGCATAATATATCTAATCGTCCCATATTGGAAGGAAGATCCTGGCTGGATAAAGGTTTAAATCTCACTTTATCATAGTTCCTCTACTCAAATCACAGGCTTCTCATAATGATGACTGGCGTATACGAAGTGGGGGGAGGGGATTGTCAGCCCCCACCCCTTACCTCGCGCTATTTTCTACCAGCTCCGTTTCAACCGGCTTTTTACTCACGTTCCGCCAGCATCGCCATCTTGCGGGAAAAGAAGGGACCTTTCACAACATCGGGCGCGCAACCACATCCGCGACTGCCGCTTTATAGGCGTCCAGCCTAAATGCCCGATAAAAGAAGGCGAAGAAAAGAAAAGCGAGATGACTTTTCGTATATAGATAATTAGGTAAATCCGAAGGAGTGGCCAAAAAAACCCAAAAGCGAATTTTTTTTTCCTTATTAGGCCGCGGAACAGATGATCTCAACCCAAGGATACGTTAAGATCTCTAATTCTCTCTGTTAGATGTTGGAGTTTCTTGCGGTGTTTTAACTTTTGGGGTGGGAAAGCAATTGTTTTGTAACATACAATCCATTTTTATCTATCGCAATTTTTATTCAGCCTTGTAATTGATATCGAAAGGCGCAACTTCCTTCCTGTTGTTGAAGTCCACCTAAGGACAAGTCCGCTATTTGTCCCAAGCAAGAGAAGCTTTCGATCACTACCGTTTGTACATCCTTGAAATACCAATGCTTTCATAAAGTGTAATGAAAACTAAATATTAAAATAATGCAATAAGAAAACTAGCACAAATGAACTAGTCATGACAATTTTTTCCAGTCGACTTCTGTCAACTGCCACTTTTTGGGGCAAGATTTCAGCGGATTGCCATTGAAAGAGAGTGACTAGTTTAAGGTCACCCAGTTGAATTTGTACCCAAAGTGGGACTAGAATTCATGGTTTTCTTCTTGTCCACTGCACCAACCTGGTTCTATTAATGAAAATTATAGCTTAGTAAGTACAATACTGGGGCTTTTTAAAAGTATTGATTACCAAAAAGCTGGTTAAGTGGGAGTCACATTCACCTCCAGAGAAAGAATCCAATAGGTGAATCGGAAGGCAAGGACAGACAGGAGAGCCACTCAGCTTCTGGGCAGGCTGCTATGAAGCTAGGCCAGAGCCTGCAGACTACTACAGGTTAGTCTTTGAGTTATGACCACATTGAGCCCAAAATTTCTATTGCTAAGTGAGACAGTTGTTAAGTGAGTTTGCCCCATTTATGACATTTCTTGCCATAGTTGTTAAGTGAATCACTGCAGTTAAGTTAGTTACAAAGATGTTAAGTGAATCTGACTTCTCCATTGACTGCTTTTCAGAAGGTTGCAAAAGGGAATCACACAACCTGGGACATTGCAATGGTCATAACTATCAGTTGCCAAGTGTCTGAATTTTGATCACATGATCATGGGATGCTGCAACAGTTGTGAGTGTGAAAAATAGTCATGTCACTTTTTTCAATGCTGTTGTAACTTTAAATGGTCAGTAAATGAACTGTTGTAAGTCAGCTCGAGGTCTGTCTGTATTAGGAGTTGCTTTTAGCAGCCATAACTGGTTGCAAAACTCCACATGATCACTAGTTGGCAGTAAAGCACTACAGCAGTGTTTCTCAACCTTGGTAACTTTAAGATGAATGAACTTCAACTCCCAGAATTTCTCAGCCAGGGAACTGCTCTAGAATTTTTGTACTGTATTTGCAACTTAGATGTAGTGCCCCTCTTGTCAGAAGTCAAAGACTAAAAAGCCTCTAGTCTGCAGGTGCGATTTGTCCAAAAGACAGAGTGAAGGGGAAGTTCATTCAATCACTAACCCATGGCACTTTAAAAAAAATCCACAACAACCCCAAACCACAGTTTACCTACAAAACAGCCTTAGACATGTGAGATTCCAGGTCTTAACCAGCTTTTGCATCACTCAGATTTTTGCCTCCCAGTAGTGTTTCTGCTATCCAGATCCACCTCACCCTTTTAATTAAATTGGATGCTTTTCTTTTGTGTTTGGAGGGTTTCTTTTCTGGGGAGAAGACACCTAATACATCTCTAGCCTTTTCCTTATCACTAAAGTAGGATATGAATAGATTTTAGATTAATTAAAAATAACCATAGATATATACATGTTAAAGCAACAATTCAGCTTGCAAATATATGTGCAGTTAGAGACATCTATAGTTATGATATTCCATAGGAAAAGAGAGAGAGGATAAAAAGTACTTTCTACAGACCCTTAAAAAGTTAAGCAGCTGTCATTTCAGGAGGTGAAAAGAAGAAGTAGTGGGCATTTGTTAATATAAATTCTGCTTGCAGAGCTGATCTGGGAAAAAATGAAATGAACTGATACTGTTAGATTTGATATATGTTTTTAATAAATAAAAATCCAAAAGAATTGCTTTTGTACTGTGTCTTTCACCAAATCCTATGATTCTCTTGGAAATCCTTGTTACGCTAGAGATGGAAGAGAGGACAGGATGAGATGGGAAATCTTTGAATTTCATGTAATGTTCTGTGTAAGGATTTGCTTTTCTTTTTTCTCATCAGTTGGACAATTGTTAAATAAGATAGATTTAATAAAGCTCACTAATAAAGGCCATCACCATTATATTTTCTGCTTTTACATCAAATGGCTAAGTTAAGTAATGTTCCCAATATATACAATGGGGAGGGAATAAGGAAGAGACAAAATTAAGAATAAAAAGAAAAATATGAGAGTACTTCAGCCAGAAAAAGTTAATAGGAATTTACAATAACTCTCAGTAACAGTTCCATGCTGGCATTTGAATAAATAAACTATATAAATCTTTCACATGTTTTATTCTCAGTCTCAGAATGTTTGCAGTTTCCATTCAGTCAATTAAATATAGAAATTTCTAGCGTGAACAACCATTTCTTCACATTAAAGGCAGGGGGAGGTGTAACAAAAGGGATGGCTCTATTTCTAACTATCCTAGTATGGATTTTGGAATAAAATATTTTGAGACTCAACTTGTATTTTGTTGCCATATGGAGAGAAAGTATCAAGTCAGAGCCATTACTTGGGGAATGAGCTATGAATGCTTCCAGATGAAGCTTTTTATTGTACAATTGTCATGCTTCATCTGAAGAACTTTATGGGGCTCTTCAGACAAAATTGTTTTCCATTTATTTTCCCACTGTTTTCTCCATCTTTTTATCTTACAACAACAGAAGGGTTTTAAAAAAAACCATTAAGGAGAGAAATGCTGAATCAGTGCTCTCCACCTTTTGAGTGGTAATTCACCCACCCATTTGGCCCCTATTGTTACATATACCTTTGTCCAAAGTTACAGACCTTCTTATAGGACAACAATAATCATAGTTTTAATTTCATTTTACACAAGAAGGGTCTGCAACATAGTTCAGTGTTCTTGTTCAGGTTTTCAGTCTGCCAACCACCAGAGTAGACAATTCCATCTTTCTTCCCAATTGTTTTTCAGTATAACTCCAACTATCCGATAACATTCTTTGTGTACTTAGCACAAGATAATTTTGGCCACATACCTGTCATGATGATTCCAGGGCTCATATTCTGGATGTAAATGACTCCAAAGACTCTTGAAACCAAATGAAAAATATATTTTTCTATTGAACAGTGTAAGAACAAATGACATATTTGGACACACCTTGAAGACATTGCCAGAGGCACTGTAACACTGGAGAGAGGATAAAGAAGTTGGGGCACAGGTAATGTTTTCTTCACTTATTTCCAGTTCGATGTGGCCCATGAAGAAAAGAAAAATACTGGAAGAAATCAACTGGCTATACAAATGGCTTCAGATGGTAGATGGTTTGTAATCTTCAATAATGGGATGTGTTTCCATGATGAAAGAACACACTTGCAAGATATGGGGTGTATTATGTAAGAACTGAGAAGAATGTATTTGAAAGGCACCTTGTAAATCTGATCTAGAAGAGTTTAAACTGAACCTTGGGAAGAGAAAAAAAAGAGAACCAAGAATGCCAAGGATTGAGACTGGCATTGGGACTGATACACAGGATGTGGAGGCACTCAGCAATGAACTTATAAAAACAGGAAAAAATCAGTCATGCTATATGACCATAAGTTTTTAGTGTCTATATGAGTGTGGCTGACAAACTGGTAGAATTAGAAGTCTAAATATAGGAAGGCAAATATGATATGGTAGTATAACAAAAACTTGGGGAGAAGAGAAATACAGTACATGAATGGAATGCAAAGACTGAAGGATACAACTGATTCGAAAGGTATAGGCTAAAAAAAAGAGGTGTTGTGGATATGTGTACAGAACCAAGAATTTGAGCATGAGAATCCAGTCAAAAGTATTTCGATAAAAATACAAATAATACAAGTAAGAAAAAGCAATCATAATATTATTGTGGGAGATGTGCTGTAGAATTGCCAAGCCAGGCAGAACATCTAAGTAATGCTCCTGGACCAAATTACAACTTTTTCAGAAGGGAGAGGTAAGGGAAACTTCAATTACCTGGACATCTGTTGAAAAAGCAGTTCAGCCAACACTGCAAGTTCTCCAAATTAAAAGAAGTGGAGGGATGTTATGAAACTATTATAATTGCAATAGGGATAATTTGACTGAACCAAGAGTTAAACATATATAGAAAATAGTAGATATGTGCCACCAAAATATGTATTCGCAAGTAGCTATTATCTGCAAAAAGAAATTCAGAAAAGCTGAAATGAATTTATACTCTAGGGATGCTAAAAGCAACAAAAGGGCATTTGGATTATGTTAGAGGTAAAAGGAAAAAGGATTGTATAGCCCCAGTGCTTGGAGAAGACAATAGGATGATGATAGGAAAAGTCTTCCAACTTACTGTGCTTTGGTTTTCTCCATAGTTCAACTGGACATAAGCAGAAGTCCCAACACAAGAAGGGAATGGCAACTTAAGGAAAGAGATTTTTAGGGAGCACTTGGCTGCCATGAAAAAGACTGTGTCTCCTAAATCACATCAATTACATCAATGAGACATGAAGAAAATTGCAGAACTCATATTGGAACCCTTTTTATATTTCATGGAGAATAGAGAGTAGTGCCAGAGCAAATATTTTTTTCTATCTTCAAAAAGGTAGGAGAAAGAAACAGATAACAATGGTCAGCTTGACATCACTACTTGGCAAAAACTGAGCAAATTTATTAAGCAGCTAGTTCATGAGCATCTAGAAAAGAATATATTGTGCAGCAGAAGCCCTCAAAAAGAAGTTATGCCCTCAAAAAGAAGTAACCTATTCTCTTTTTCTGATGATACATTTAAATTGACCTTGGAAATAC